TCCTTCACCTATTAAAATCACTCTCATACAATCTCAGGATCTTCACATAAGGCCTGCTCATAGCTGTATTTTCATGAGAATCTCGTCTTTAGATTCTCATGACATTTAATAAATCTATTAACCCAGCATTCACCCACAGTAGCTGTAATCTGGGTAGAGAGTAGTAAATCTGCCATATTTCATTCATTCTCAACAGAGAAAGGCTGACCTCTCTTATCCATGGAGATTATCCACTGAACTAGAGATTCTTCTTCTGTAGATATTAACTTTCTATTTTAGAAAGTTGAGCATTTGAGCGCATTTTGACTTTGGTGATTTGATTGTGTTAAGGTAAAGTTAGAGACATTATATATCTTAGCAGCGGATCTAATAACTGGGGTTTTTTTATGTTTTGTTTTGTTTTGTTTTATAGCCTTGAATAGCTAAGGAAAGCCTTCCTTCCAAATTAGAAGCTTGATCTTTTGATTTTGTGGGCATTTTAAATGATTTGATGAAAGTGAATAGATTTAGGTGGGGGGGGGGGGGGGGATTTAAGAAGGTGAAGTGATTACGCAGGTGATGAACTACGTTATGACGACAAGGGCGTATTTTACCGCCATATAAAATTTAGGGGTATTGGAAATACGAATACAATTTCAGGATCTGGCTGCTTGACTGTCTAGGCTTTGACGTCCTTCTCGGCCTCCGGGTTTATGTCGCTCCGACGGCCTATTTTTAATTTAAATACATCAGTTGAAAGTCATGATTCGCCTCTGTTCTCCATACATCCTAGAGACCCTGCTAGTCATTTGTGTTTCACAAGGTCTGTCAGGTTCACTGGGACTGACGTGCTCAGAGGGACGGCAATTGAGCCATTCTATGAGTTTGAAACAGGATGTTCTGCAAGAGATTGCAAAATAACCAACTCCCTGTATCACTTTGTATCTTCAACAATCTTGGCGCTATGAAAGTGCACTTTGAATAGCAATCGACATAAGTTAACTATCAATATCCAAATAATATATTTTTGATGCTGATCCAGATCGCAATGGACAACCTTTCAAGGCTGCTGCAGAGACCCCGACTGATTGACTAAACAAATCTGATAACAAAGTTAGTTAACTAGTAACGTAATTCCCAAGCATGTGGCCCCACCAAATGCGAATTCCTTTTCTACTCTCTAGTTAGGCCACTTCAACCTGCAAGAATGCCACCAGATCACAATAAAAATACAAGAAACTCTATAGAAATAGAGTAATGAATTGAACGTGCAATTTCCACTATTAAAAGCAAGATATAACCTCTGTCCATGAAACTGCTCGCGTATTTGATATTTCATGTACTACTCTTCATCGCTGACCCCAAGATAAGCCAGCTAAAGCCCCTCTACACGCGAATTCAATTAAATTAACCCAGGCTGAAGAGGATAGGATTGTTCAATGAGTGTTGAATCTAGCTAAACAAAGGTTACCCCCTCAGCCACCATCTGTTGAGAATATGGCTAATTATATTCTTATCTCCCATTCTCAATCTTCAACTCCCACCTGAGTGGGAATGAACTAAGCGTCAAATCTAATCAAATGTTGTCCAGAGCCTTAATGCTGTTATTCCCAACATTACAATTATGACTGAGCTAAATGTGAGGATATTAGAGTTATTCAGAGATAATTCAAGACTTTGAGAGATATTATTGCTAAGTATGAGATTTAGACTGAAGATATATATAACTTTAATGAGACTGGCTTTTCAATAAGATTATGTATCATCATCAAGATTATTACTAATGCTGAGTACCAGACAAGCTTCTACAATCTGAAAATTAAAAATAAGTTCATTATGATTGAGACAGTCAATATATCATAGTGAATTTTAATTCTGTATATTATTCTTAAATGAAAGGCTGTTCAAAAAAAATAATTTGATGAGCTTTTAAAGAATTGAAGAATTTATATTAATTCTAAAGACTGAATTATAGATAAAATAAAAATTAAATAACTCATTAAGCTATTTATCTTCTCAGTAAATTTATTATAAATTGACTGTTTTATTTTTCATACTTCAAATAAGTTCAGCAGTTATTTCATCTTAAAATTTGATTATATTTGAAAAAAGAATAGAATTATTCCTCTCTATATATCAGTATAATTATATTATCTTTTGTAATCTATAGAAATAAATATTTTCGCAGTTTTAAAATTAATTTATGAAAGTTTAATGAAATAATACATATAACTTAAACTTAATATTGTTAAAAAGAATGATTTTTTAAATATCTATTCTACAGATTATATGAAAGCCTTTAAGACTGATAATATTTAAAATGAGTTTAAAGTCACTAATATAATATTATTTGGATTTGATTAAATTAATCAACAGTTAAATTCTCAATTCTGAACTTTTGTTCACTTAATCAACTGATTTAATATCTTAGAATTATTATAAACTTTATAAATATTTAATAATTCTTATCAGCTAACTAATTATATAGTTAAGCAAGTAAATAAAAATTAAAATCTTATTAAATAGAATATTAAAAAACTCTCTTAAAGTCTAGTAGAAGAACTTGATCAAATTAATAAAATTTATAAATATGAAATAATCAATATCACTATTTTAAAAAAGTAATATCAAAATATACTTACTATGAAGAAAATAGAAAAATAAAAATATATAAAATCTAATTATTTAATTTAATATAAAGAGAGTTTAATTAAATAAAAGACTGCTAAGATCATTGTTCTATATATTAAATTTATTTAATAGTCAATCATTTAATCTTTAAAAATCTTTGAGTTTATGTTATCTGTATAAGTATTATCACAATGTAGTAATTGTAATATTTTTAAATATAAAAATATATACTATATAAAGGTCTATGCTCTAAATCTCATGATACTCAGGCTCTGCCTTCATACAGTCGAAGCTGCGCTATCAGAGCGGCGCTATCAAGCAGCGCCTCCACCACCGAGGTCTTCGTACGATACTTCCACCCTATTCGTATACTACCGAGGCAATGTTTCAATCATCCTCGTGTAAAGCCCCTTCTTACCAAAGCCTGCCCTATATAAAAAAACCTGATTTCTTTATAATCTATCTTCCTTTTCCCTCCTTAACGATTTCTTTTTGTTTTCATACGTGTTAGTTATCAACTGTTCTCAGCGACTAGCCCATTAACATACTATTTAAATTTATAATAAATTAATATAAATTAATTAGTTGTTTTCAAATATCTATAAATATTTTAAATTGAAATCTAGTTAATTGAAAAGTATAAAATTTGTTAAGTTATTGACTTGAATAAGCTACTTACTTGAGAATTACATTAACCAGTTAATATAATTTTTTTACTAAACGAGCTATTTAACTGAGTAAGTTATAAAATTTAAAATATTTTTTTCAATTTTTAAATAACATTTCTATACTTAGTTCAATCTAATAACAAAGCTTTAAAAGTGAATTTATATATAAACTTTAATAAATTAATTTAGAATAAAGAGAATAAAATTATTCAATAAATTCTATAAATTAATTAAATGAAAATTATCTTTGAAAGAGGCTACAGATACTATTTTAATAAAATCTAATAAAATAACTTTATTTCTAAATATTATTGAATTATATTACTTTTAATCTATTTGAAAAAAATTCTAAAAAAAGATAATTAGTTTTATTTTTTTTATTTTATTTTATTTTATTTTATTTTATTTTTTTTAGCTACTACTAATTAAATAACAATCAAATAGAAAGTAGAAAATAAAAATCAGTTATAAATATAGTTATATCAATGATTTATGATATTTTAAATAATTAAAAATAATAATTTAATTTATACTATTATTTTTACTAATATAAAACATGCTTTTGATATGTTTCAAAAAATATAATAATCTCAATTTTATGAAATCTGAAGTTATCAAAGTCTCTGACAAAATGAATTATCTGTTTACTGATGAAAAAAGCATATAGCTTTTATTTGATGTATATATTAAAATAGAAAAATACATAAAAAATAAAAGTTTTTTAAAAATTTTCAATACATTTACCTTATTTGCTATATATATATTTAATCTGTTCATGTATAAGAATATATATATAATAAGAACTTTCTAACTATGTTGGTGATATTATATCTTATTATCAACTCTAAATCTATTTAAAAAATTGTGAAAATTGAGAAAAAGCTGCGTATGAAATCTTTGAATGAGAAAATAAAATTTTAAATCAATTTAATATGAATAAAATTGAATTAATTTATCTTTATTCTACAAAAATTAAAGAAAACAGAATCACTACTCTTCAAGATAAAGTTATACAATTTAAAAGCTCAGTGAGATAACTAGAGGTTTGATTAAATTCAAAGCTTAAATTTAAAGTTCACATTCAAAAAAAGATTAGCTCAGGCTGAAAGAGCTTTAAATAATATAGCTACTCTCAAATACTGAAAGAGAACTGTCTTTTCAAGCTAAAAAACAACTATATGCAGCTTCTAACACTTCAGTTTTTGATTTTACTGTTGAGATCTAATTGAAATATTAAAAAAACTATATGAACTATTCTTGAAAAATTTGAATGCAGCTTTAAGAATGCTGCTGAGTATATTTTCGAACATCTTTCATTAGAGCAATGAAAATAAAGATCTCAATTTCATCATCAGATATTGTGACGGCGTAGAACGGGCTCCGTCCAGACTTCTCAACAGCGTAAGGCCAATGGGCCGAGGTAATCGGTAATCGCAACTGCCTAGCAACGGCGCTAAGAGAAGGGGCAACTGCGTTGAGGAAAGGACTATATAAACAGAGCCTTCCCTGACCCCGTCTATTAGGAACCATCTTAGTATTTTCGTCGAAGTAGCTTACCTAGTTGGCAATCGAACACCTGTTTCACCTGCGCCTAGATTGAAGCCGTGACATAATACTAAGATCAATTACTTTTCTTGCCCTTTTTAAAGCAGGTTTTTAGGTGTAAAACCTCTGAGAATCTTTATTTACTTTTGTTTTGAAATCCCTGAGAAGACTACCAAGATGTCGGAAGCTGTTAGAGGATCTGACAGTCCATGGAGATCAGACTGGGATATGATGACCCTGACAGGAAGGAATATGGGACCGAGGGGGCTCATATCAAAGGAAACGTTTTTTGAGGCAATCAAGGAGGACCGGGAGCGGGTGTATCGAGAGATTGCCAATATTATGGACGAAGCACGAGGTACCCTGGGCAGGGTTAGGAACGAGCGAGATGAGAAGCAAAAGCAAGTGGATGAGCTTGACCAGCAGGTGGATAGCTTGATAGAGGAACGGAACGCCTTACAGCTGGCTGTGAACTCCTTGGCCTTGCAAGCCAGACCAGCAGAGGCACAGAAAGCGCAACGATCCGCAAAGCTTGGTGATCCTAAGCATCTTACAGATGGAAAGGAACCGATATTTGAGAGCTGGCTCTCACGAATGAGACGCAAACTGGCTGTGAATGCTGATCACTTTCCTACCGAAGAAAGTCGCATTGCATATGTTGAGAATCGAACTGAAGGCGAGGCCGCGAGACACTTGGCTCCAAAAATGAGAGAAGATCACCCTGAGAAGTTTGAGACTGCAGAGGAAGTATTCGAATACCTGCAGGGAATCTACGAGGACGTCAACAAACTCGAGAACGCAAAGGTTGAATACCGACGTCTGGTAATGAGAAATGGGTATGAACCTCGAACGTCCTTTGATTGGAAACCACTACTGGAGACGCTCCCCAGAGTGGAGAAGCTCAAACGAGAAGATGCCCGGCAACACGTCATTCAAATGGAGGAAATTTGGAAGCTGGCAGTTGACAATGTGAAGAGGGCGCAAGGGATCGAATCACAAGCCAACAAACACCGTCGTGAGCCAAACTTCGGGGTAGGAGATAAGGTCTTTCTATCACTCAAGGACTATACAATACAACGCCCCAGCAGGAAGCTCGCGGAGCAAAATGAAGGCCCCTTTGAAATTATTGAGAAGGTTGGCAACAGCTACAGATTAAGATTACCTAATAGCATGAAGATCCACCCAATATCCTCTCCTGACAAGCTGAGGAAAGATGCGAATGATCCCTTACCAGGGCAACAGAATGAGACACCGGAAACAGTTAAGATACAGGGTGAAAATGAATGGGAGGTTGAGGATGTTCTAGCGAGCCGCATCTCCCGTGGAAAGCTTCAATACCGGGTAAAGCGGCTAGGATTTGATGATGATTCAACATGGTATCCAGCACCAAACCTGAAAGGATCACCGCATCTAATCTGAGAGTTCCATGCAGCGAATCCGTCAAAACCAGGACCACCAAAGCGCCTAAGTGAGTGGCTAGAGGCTTGGGAGAAGGACAACTTCCCTGACGAGGCAGGTGATGATCTACCGACATGAGGGCATGCCTGAGCTTCAAAAGGGGATAATGTGATGACGCTGGCTACGGCGCTATGACGGCGTATGGCTACTGGCAACGGAAACTGGCATTGACCGAAAAGGATAGTAGCAACGGCCATGTCCCTAGCAACTACCCCGTAAACAAATACCCCACAGAAACTGCCTAGCAACGGCATAGCAACCGCTAGTGGAAAGGGATATATAAACAGAGGCTTCCCCAGGCCCCTGTTTCATAGAGCATCTTAGTATTTCGTTGAAATAGCTTACCTAGCTGGTAATCAAACATCTGTTTATCTGCGCCTAAATTGAAGCCATAACAATTAAAGATCAATTATTAAGTTTAAATGTGAAAAATATAAATCACATAAGCTTTATTCTTGAAGAAAGAAACTAAATCATTAACATATATTTCTATCAGTGAACTCTTTAAGAAAGAGAAAAAAAAATATACATATTTTAAAAGCCATAAAATTTTAATAAAAAAAATTATCTATTATTATTATTATTATTATTATTATTATTATTATTATTATTATTATTATTATTATTATTATTATTATTATTATTATTTTTATTGATGTATATAGTCAATATCTCTGAGATTTATTTACTTATAAAATTTGATTATCTTGAAAAATTGATATATATATATTCTCAAAGTATGAGCTATTGTAAAGGGTTAAGCTCTAAGAACTAGAGGCTAGTCCTCCTATATAACAAGGACAAATTGCTTGAAAAGGGAAGAAAAGAATGAGGTGAGAACATGAGCTTAAGCAAGCTCATGTAGCATGATCATGTGCACACATGCAAACAATAACTAGGCTAAGTCAGTCAGTCAGAGTGAATCTATAGGTACAGTCTCTTATAATACCTCTCTTCTCCCTCTTTATTGCAGGTCTTTATGACTATTTAAAGCCCTCTTTACATCTAATTTTGCCTGCTGAGAGGCCTTTTAAGTGTCCAAAGCCTTCACTTCTTGTAGAAAACTCATGTCATTTCATATAAGCTCAGCCCAACTTACTCATTTAACAAGATATTGCTTTTTTCTCTGATAGATTTGTTCATCTCAAATTTCCTCAATCTCAAATTTAGGTTTTTCTGAGATCTCTATAGTAGATGACTGTCAGTCAGTTTGTCTCTGACTAGACAGAAAATCTATCACTGCAGCATGTAGAAGCTTTACATTAAAGATATTGTGAATGTCAGATGAGATATTCAGTTGATAAATATGAAATTCTATCTTTTCTAGCACAGTATATTGATTATATTTCATATTCAGCTTCTTGCACAGATGATTAGTTCTCATGTTCTCTAAGCTCAATCAGATCTTATTTCTAGATTGAAAGCTTGAAGCTGAGTCTCTTCATCTATTCACATAGTTCTTTTGAGATTGCTGAGCATCTGTTATTTTTACTTGAGCTCACTTCAACACTTCATGAGTCTTTCTCATATAATCATCTGCAAACTTAATAGAATTATATGACATTTCAACAGGGGGTGTATCAGCTATATCAGTAAAAAAGACATGAAAAAGATATGTTAAAAAGAATGAGCTCATGTCTGTTGAGACAGCATCTCTATTATTGATGATCAGCTCTATCAGAGAGAGTCATTCACATCAGTCATTCTGTTGAAAGCTAATATACTTGTGTAGGTAGATTTTTAGAGTCTGATTCATTCACTCTGTAGCTCCATCAGTCTCTGAGTGATAGACTGTGAAGAGTCATCTCTTGATGTCTAATTTCTCACACATCTGAGTTCAAAATATGCTTGTAAAAGCTGATCCTCAATCTGACACTACTGCCTTAGAAATGCCATGTTGAGAGATGATGTTGTGAAGGAACACTCTAGTCACTGTCTTCACATCAGTTTTCTTAACTACTTTTAATATAACTCTCTTGATCAGTCTGTCTGTTATAATCATAATGTTTATGTATTCTTTAGAGCTTGGTAAGTTCACAATAAAGTTCATAGAAAGCTTCTGTCATATGTGTTCAGAAATGAGAAGAGGCTTAAGCAGTCCCTAACATCAATCTCTTCATGTGATGTTTGATCTGCAAAGATGGTAGTTTCTGATCATTCTTCTCACATCAGCAGCATAGTCTAACCAGTAAAACTCATATCTTAGAACTCCTGCCATTTGCTCTTACCTGGGATGGTCAGTAAGAGATGAGTCATGAGTCTTGTACAGTAATTTAATTCAAAGAGGTTCAAAGTCTGACACTCACTTATGACCTTGAAAGAGAAGCTTCTCATTCTCATTTAAAGAGCATTCAGAGACAGAGGTCTTAATGCTGAGTTCAAAAGAAAATCTGAATCTTCTCTTATGAAGACTCTGCTTCAGACACTGCAGAATCTTGTCATTTTTGTGAGTCTTATTTCACTGAGCTTGAAGAGACATCTCAGGTTTTATACTGACAGTAGCTACTCTTGATTCCATTCCAGGTGCCAGTACATTAAACTTAAGTAGTTGAGCTTGCCTCTGCTTGATCCTCTCATCATCAGTGCTCTATGGCATGTTCTGCTCTCTTTGTGTTAGAATGTCTGGTTCAGCATTCAACTTCTCTGACTGATAATCAATTCTGAAGTTGAATCAATAGAGAATATTCATTCAATATAGCTGTCTTTTATTTAGTCTGTATGTAGTCATGAAGTATTCTAGATTTTTATGATCTGTGAGAATCTTGAATTCCTTTACACTTTGTAGCTCAGCATTTCATTTCTTTAAACACTCAATTATTGCTAATAACTTCTTATCATGAATCTTGTAATTGCATTCTGCAGGTGAATGCTTGTGAGAGAAGAAGACACATGAGTGTAGAATGCTCTGCTCATTATATTGTAGCAGCACTTCTTCTGAGACATAACTTGAGAAGTCTGTTTCCAATATAGTCTCATGATCAGGATCAAATTGAAGCAGGATTAGAGTGAAGATAAACATTGATTTTAGATGCTTAAAAGCTTCCTCAGCCTTGCTCATCCACAAAAAAGAAACATTCTTGCATGTAAGAATCATTAGTGAGGTCACAATTTTTGAGAAATCTCTGATAAATTGTCTATAGAAATTGACAAAGTCTAAAAATCCTCATACACTCTTAAGAGTAGTAGGTATCACTCATTTCAAAACAGCTTTAATCTTCTCTAAATTTATTTGTATACCCTTGCCTGCTTCAATAATGAATTCAATATATTTTGTGCTGTTCATCTCAAACTCACTCTTTCTGATATTTGCCTGCAGGCCTGCTTACTGTAGATGCATAAGCATCTTTTGTACATACTCACAATGCTTTTGTAAGCTTCTTGAGGAAAATATCAAGATGTCATCTAAATAGACTGAGCAGAAGTCATTCAAATATCCATATAATGCTCAGTTGATATATTTTTGAAATGTGCTCAGAGCATTGGCCAAACCAAAGGGTGTAATCAGCTATTCAAATAGTCTGTATCTAATTCTAAAGACTATCATTCACTCATCACTTTCTGTGATTCAAATCTTGTAAAAAGCTGTAATAATATCCAGCTTAGTGAATCATTTAGCCTGTCCAATTCACTGTAAAATCTCATTGATTAATGATAGAGAATATCAATCCTTTCAAATAATTTTGTTAAAAGCTTAATAGTTCACACAGAATCTTAGCTCACTCTCAGACTTCTTTACAAATAGTACAGAGGCAGCTGTGGGAGAGTTGCTCACTTTAATAAAACTCTTATCTAGATAATCTATAAGAGTCTTTCACAAAGCCAGTAGTTTCTCTCAAAACATATTATATAGTGAGTCTCAATAGGGTTGTTCTACACTACCATCAGTCTTCTTAATCAGTTCAATCCCATGATCTCTACCTGGGCCATGAAGTGAAAGAAGGGTGTTGGTGGCTTCTTTATCAAATACATTCAAAAACTCATGATAATGTTCAGGCAACTTTTCTTTAGAGTCAATCTTTGATTTCACTTCTAGAGCCTTTTGAATGTCAGTCAAACTGATAGTGAAGATCTCAATGTTTTACTTCTTTTGAGTGCTTGCAAACTTAGAAAAGCTTATGACAGAGATGGAAATCATATCAGCTTTTGCATTTGAACTAGACTCTACCTCTATGCTACTCTTTTCAAATCTCACAATTCTTTGATGAGAGATCATAGTCACCTTTTACTGGGCCAGCCAGGGGTCACCTAGATACATATCATGATCATGTAACTCATTCATCATGTAGAGAAAGACCTGTTCAGTTATGTGATCATCTATATCAATTCAAATGCCAGTCACTATGCTTGTGGAGAGTCCCATAGAGTCTTCAAAGCTGGTCATTTTAACAGAGAGAATTTCAATGCACAAGAGCTTATGCTTGTTAACATAGAATTGAGAAATAAGATCATAGACATTACATTTACTGTCTATCATTGCTCTAGTTGAAAAGGCATTATCTACTAAAGCATCAATAGTGAAGGGTTTGAATATCATCTTAGATTTAAATCTTCTTCATTGCTTCTTTATAAGTTTTTTATTTCACTTCTTTCAGTGTCTTTTGATTGAAGCTACTCTTTTTCTGAATCCTCACTCATATCCACATCATCATCATTCAATACTGGCTTGGGAATCATCTTAGCTATTGTGAGAGTGACAAGATGTCTGAGAGATTTGAATAAGCAGCTCTTAATCATATAATCTTCAGCTTCACATCTCAGGCACAGACCTTGCTCTCTTCATTGATTAATCTCTGTCTGATTTATCAATTTGATGTAGTGAGTGCTTGAAGTCACAACATCAGAAGAGAGATTCATCAGATCATTAGTGGAAGCTTGAGACTGATTTCATCAATCAAGAACAGCATGATAAGATAGAGAGTGTGAATTAGATGTTGTATGATTCAAAGAAGATCTGCTCTCATGACATTTAAATCACTGCCTTAAAGTCTTAAGCTCAGAGAGTTGATGATCAACTAATCTAAGCTCCTTGCAGTAATTCTCATATAGAGATGATTCTCTTATGCTCACCATGTCTTCCCTCAGCTCCATGCTTAGAGTGGATTTCAGATATCTCTTTTTAATGTGATCATCTCATTCATGACCATCAGCTTCCAGCAGGAGTTGATTAAATTCAAGCAGAAAGTCAAAGAGAGCTCTTCTACCCTGTCATAGATTGTTAAGCTTTTGCATAGCCTTTTTCTGTCATGTAGAATCACTAAAGAGCATGTGTATCTGCTTCAGTAAGCTCTTTACTGTAAAGTTGATCTTGTTCTTATTATTCTTAACTCAGAGGTAAACTTGAGCTGCTGTCATTTCTTCCAGTCTTGAGTACACATATCAAGCACATTCCTCATTATTACCTAAAGCTTTTCCATTGACCTTAAGTTTTGATTGAAGCTTAAGCTCTCACTGAGGGTAGTGCTTTAGATTAGAATCATCATACTTCTTGCAATCTAGTAGCTTGGTCTTTGGTCTTCTGACTGCAATGAGTGGTTGTGAGTTCAATTGAGAGAGGATTGATGTTGAGGTGTTCAAAGCTTGTCATAGATTAGCTATTTTAACTTGCTGAGCTGCTATTAAGTCTCTGTTCTCATGCTGAACCTGTTCCTGCTGTTGGAGAAAGATCATTCATTGTTGTTCAAAGCTGCTAAGAGTGTCCCTGCTCATTGCTTTGTGTTGATCCATTTTTGTGTATTTGTTGTACAAGTCTGCTGCTTTATCTCATTCAGCTAGATATTTTCAATGTTGTTCATAATGCAGAATTTAAGACTCTTAATAGTCTATCATATGTGAGCACATTTACTGAGCTTTGTGATACAGGATTAAGACTCCCAGTGACCTATCAATGAAAGGAGTGAAGCAATTTGTAATGTAAAGGGTTAAGCTCTAAGAACTAGAGGCTAGTCCTCCTATATAACAAGGACAAATTGCTTGAGAAAGGGAAGAAAAGAATGAGATGAGAACACAAGCTTAAGCAAGCTCATGTAGCATGATCACGTGCGCACGTGCAAACAATGGCTAGGCTGAGTCAGCCAGCCAGAGCGAATCTAGGGGTTCAGCCCCTTATAGCTATATTCTTAAAATCTTGATAAAAAATATAAAATCTTCAATGATAAATTATTTGCAATTTATAATAAATAAGCATGTAAATAATAATCTTTTATTATCAAACTCTTCATTAATCTATATAAAACTCTACATTTATCTTCTTAATTTTTATTTTATTTTCTTTTCTTCTTCTAATGAATTTGTTTTTTTTATTTTATAAAAAAATGCTGAAGTCATATTCAGTAGCACATCTATTACACAATTCAAAAAATATTTACACTAGTATATAAACTTATCCTTAAAGAATATATTATTTAAAATATATAAATTTTTTTCAGACAATCAAATAGTAGTTAAAAATTTAAAATATAAGATTTAAAAAATAGTGAAAAAAATTTAAGCTAAAAGATAAAAATATTCAACTTAGTAAATAATAAAAAAACACACTTAGCAGTAAAAAGTGATATTAAAACTTAAAAGATAACATAATAAATTATTTTTAATCTTATATTAAAAGAAAGATAAAAGAATCTTATCTCAATAAATAAACTTAGCTTTGAGAAAAGAAAAAGAAAAATATTCAGTATGCAAGATATAAAATGAAAATAAAATAAAATAACAATCTTTTTTAATAAAGTATAAAAGGAAAACTATCTCTTATATAATATAATTAAAACTTGAATACGATTATTTTAATTTTATTTAAAAAGAGTTAAAAAGTTTCACAAACTCAAATAAATAAAATTTCTATGATTTAGTTGAAAATTCAAATCATATTTTAATAAACTATTTATTAAATAATTATGTTATAAAGAAACTAAAGAAAAATACTTTATCAGTCAGTTAAATATACTTTTTATCTTTAAAACTGAATTGAGAATGAAGGTTTTAATTGACTATGTAAAAATAATAAAAGCTGCCATTAAAGAATAAATTTTGAAATTAAATAAAATCTTTGCTTAATTTATACTATTAATAAAAATTAAAACTTAAAGATTATCTCATTCTAGATGTTTTTCTTTGTTATTATTACTTTTTTTATCATCAATTTATTAATATATATATAATTTTCTTTTGTTATTATTATCTTTTTTATTATAATTTTATTGTTAAAGATTATTGAGATCTTTTTTTAAAAAATTTTAATATTAATTTCTTCTTCTACTATACTATTTTCTTTTATTAATTGACTTTTATTTTTATCTATTTTTTTTTTTAATTTGATAAATTTTTAATAAATTAAATACATATAATTGAGATTCTTATGATATAACTTTTTAAATACTATATTATTCTGAGATAAAACTATAACTGCATATTCTAAACTGTGTATATACATTAAAAATATAAAATAATCAAAATTTAATATAATTAGATAGATATTATAATTATTAACTATATACATTTAAAATAATATTATTATTTAAATATTTTTTCTCATTTATATTAATAAAAATTATATTTTAAAATTAATTAAATATTATACTAGCTTTAATGCTGTTATTTTTACTATTATAATTATAGATAAAATAAATATAAAACTAATTTAATCTTTTAAAATAAGTTACTAGAAATTTTTAATACTTAGTTATATATAAATATAAAATAAAAAGATCTATAATTTAAATAAGACTAAATTTATAATAAAACTTTATTCAATTATTTTAAAGTAATTATTCCTTAAAAATACTATAATTCAATAAAGTTTTTTAAATTTTAAAATTTATAAATAATAATGATTAAAATAATTAATATATCAGAGTAAGTATTTTTTTTATTTTAAAAGATATAATGATTAAAATAACTATTTTAATATATTAATAGATATTAAATATCAGTTTTAATATTTAAATAATATAAAATATAAATTGAAAAATTTATTTAATCATCATCCATTTTAATAGTAATTTTATAATGAACTAATTATTATATATTTTTTACTACATAGTCATAACAGTTATCTTATATCTATACTTAATTAAATCTGCAGTAGGAATGAAAAATTTTCTTTTTATTTCTTGATATATTTATTTTAATATTTATAATTCTAGATATAGTATTTTCACAGTTATAATATTAGCTTATAGTAAATATGATTTGAGTTTAATGAATACTCTTTGCTTCACACTTCATATAGAGATCATTAAATTTGAGGATATTTAAACCAGCATTTTAACTGACTGTTAATATCGTTCTGCTCCCGGCCGCTGGTTTGGGCCTGTTTCCACGCCAATTTCGGTCGCGCCAGCGCAACGCACTCCGCTCCAACCACCAGCGACTTCACCCGGGCCTGTTCGCTCTCAAACTACCCACTCCCCTTCCCCTCTGCTTGCTTCCATGGCCACGGTTTTTGTATGCCCATCCAGGCCCACCAGAAACCAACCCCCTCGACCTTCGGCCTTCTTTTCCGGTCTCGCTCTACTCCTGTCTCCAACTCCAGATCAAATGGAAGTTGGTTGGGCGGGCTCGCCGCATATAGACGAGAAGTAACTAATGATTGCATTTCGCCCTATTAAGTAGATCGTTAAACAATTCAGCCAAACCGATTCTCGAGGCATTGCGCTCCCGGGAAATCTCATCGAAGCCATCAAGCAGCAACAGAGTAATTTTCCGGGAAGACTGTCAAGAGTATTAACTCCATGCAGCATTGCTAATCGCAGTTTGTATCAACTTCTATCCGCCCTGTCGTGCTCGATACACGATATCACGCGCTCGCTGAGTGTTACTTTCCAGGGTGATTCTGCGATCCTTGCGCAGCAGTAAATAAAAACAATTTCTGCCCCTTCAGGCCCTCGATGCATACTGGTACTACATTGAAACCAAAAACGGCGGTCACCATATGCCTCGTTCAGTAACCTCCAACCTATCTCGTAAGCGTCAGCAGACTGAGTCACATCCATACAACATATCGCGATATCAGTTGAAAAGACAGAAGCTCAGCAAGTCAGCATCAACGTACTGGGATAACCTGTCAAAAGATTTGGTTAACCAGACACGCATTAAAAGAGTTTAAAAGAGTTGGACCGAAGAACACCCTGCGCATGGCTTGTACGTTGAAAAGGGCTTCGCGACTAGTCTACCAGACTGGTATGATTTTTCTCTTTCATTTTATTGGCCAGCTCACCCTGTTGTCATTTCACGTAATTCACAGAAATTAAAAGAAAAGAAAAGAAAAGGGAAAAGAGAAGGCAAATGCTTATTTTGCAGGTCTCCTTGAGTCCAACCCGCTTCACTAGATGCACGAAATGGATGGAGTACTTTGAAAGGTTTCTCGATCTAGCTCTGGTGTCCAGGGCTAGTGGACTCCAATGCTATCGGCAATTATCCTGCTCTTTGTGCTTGCATTCGCAGAGCAAATGGGATCCAGTCAGTGTGATGCTTTTCTGGGCCGCCCCACCCAACACTTGGATAGCTAATGAAGAAGCAGTGTGATTGTCACGACTCGTTCCGGAACCTCCAGGTTTATGTGTCACTGTTGCCCTTGTTGCCACGTTAGGCCATTTTTAAGCATGCTGTATTAACGTAGTCTATATAACTAAAACTGCCAAAAAGCGACGACAAACTCCAACCCTACATAAGAACACCCTCTGCCGCAGGGGAAGTGTAAACATGTACCCGGCGGAGCACTTTGGCCACCTCGACCTAGCGAACGGGACGGTCCGGAATGATCTTCACCAGCTGTTGACGCCAAGGGCAATGGATATCAGCAATCCATGTTGCTCTTGTCCAATTACCCAGTGCCACGTATAACTAAACTTCATTGGGAGGTTGCAAGTCCAGTCGGTCGGTCTGTTGTTGTCCTATCGAACAGAAGCACAGAACTCATGCAAACTGTATTTCTTCAAAGACTTGCCCAACTACCGGTAATGCCCCAACTAATGCCGTGGGGAACATAGGCATAAGTTCACATTTTCATCTAAAAAACAGCCTGAAGGTTTACCGGTTACAGACCCAGGACGATACCAAAACAAAGACGACCACAGCCGGCGACAACCTCCTGGCCTGCCAGTGTTACCTTGTAATTCTGAGAAAAAAGGAATATGCCGGGGATAAGTTTTCTTTGTTGGTCAAGATTGCCGCGTCTTGAAATTTGTTCGTCGATGACCTGTGACAGGAACTTTTCGCCCGGGAACGTCTGCTTATTGCACCAGCCGTGGCGGAGTGTGGGAAGTCAGGTGTGCCTGTTATTCAATCCCTTATGAATTTTACGTCGGAGCCTTTTTATTATGCTTCATGAGTCCCAACCGCAGTGCAGCAATTGCAATATGCTCAGGCATAGAACAATACACTGCCATAATCCTATAGTAATGTAATTGAATTTAATCAATGGTTGTTGAGAGCAGACATTCCAGGTTAAAGTCTGTATGTACATAAGTTATTTTTATTTGGTGGGTCGCTCGGGGCGGCAGATGGGAGCCGTTGGATTGAACGAGACTGGAATTACGTCAGTTAGTTAAGGTTACTCACCTCGTGACTTCATCCCACCCCGAGGCTAATATTAAATCGCTGCCTCGAGCTTAACGCCATCACAATTATAGAAACCCCTATTTGTTTGCCCGGAATGCCGGTTGCCTATCTTCTTGCCTTAAGAAACTGCGGATCCCTGAAAATCGTATGGAAGAAAGTGAGTGAGATAGTAGAGTTATGGAATCGTCTCCCTTAACCTTGGTATGTTCACTCTCATCAACCCCCCCTCTGATCTATTCCTCGAATGCAATTTAACTGAATACTCCCCTCAAGGCGCATTCCCATGCTCGTAATGCCCTCTTCGAAACACGCAAATCTAACCCAGTAGCGGCCAGCGAGGAACACGATCTCGCAGCTGTCGAGTTTTCGACTGCAGCACAAGGCACGGTTGACCCGGACGTATGTTACTTGCACAGCTTCTGATAATACCAAACACCCAAACACACCATCTGATATCAAGATGATAGGCATCGCGAACACTTCAACTTCTCGAAAAACATCATAAACGGCTTGCAGAGATCCTTAGATTTCAACATGAGCACCCTGTGGAGGCTTCTCCTGAACGTGCAAATGTACTTTCTGTGCCTTCAACAACCCAACCTCCCAAGTCAGACTTGCCAAGCATTGGTAGAAGAGAGCCAACGGCTCCGGTTCCCTATGTAGAAAACGTAAATCAAACCCCTCGTCTCCCTGCGCAGCATAGACCTGTGCAACGCGACACTACTTCTATAGCAAGCAATCTAGCAACGGCTCGTGGTATTCCCTCTCATCCTGCTCGAGGTAGTCCTGCATTTCCGGCTGTATCGACTCAGAATGCTGGGGCCAAAATGGCTGGTGCTCCAGTGCAGATGAGCCATGATGGAGCAAACCTTAATTCCCTAAATACCGAGTTAAAGGCTCGCCCAAGCTTAGCATCCAAACAGAAACCATCTTGGACTCCAACTGGGTTGAGTCCCACAGATATTACGGGGCAGCAGATCAACCCACCAGCACCAAGTGACGCCTTAACATCTAAACTTGGGTTTGGATTCTCAGCAGATGAGCCATTCCAGCGGTTTTATTCGACATTTGAAGGTCTCATATCGAGACTTTCAGGCCCGCTAGCCTTTGCTAGTCTACCCCTTGGCATTGACACTTCTACCCAGAAATCTGCAGCAGATCCCCAAGTTGACCGGAACCCAGCATCTGCAGATATTCCTAGCTATCTTACAAACCAACCAGATGTGAATAGGTTAGTTTCAAAAGCCGCACTGCGTGCTATCAGAGATAAGGATGGCCTGAACGGATTACTCGGCCAGCCAAACCCGGTGGAATCATTCTACGTCGTCCCAACCGCTGGGGGAACGATATCCTATGCAGGCATTCTTTCTCGAGCCGAAAAGGAAGCCCGCAGACGCAGCCTTGACAGCAGCCGCGATGACGACTTTGTTGATGCCCGCGAGAACCCTCCATCTCCGGAATCTTTGCTTCCCGTAGCAGGAGACAAGGGCGGGAAACGAGCAGCACGGAGCAGAGCATCAGGCGCAACGCAGCCAAACACAAAGACAATGGAAGAACTACAGATGGAAAACCAAGCGCTGAAACACCTGTCGGACACGCTCTCCAAACGGCTGCATATGTGGGAAGTCAATGCGCAGTCGTCGTCCCTGGCATTACAACAATCTCTGAAGGCAATGCAGCACCAACCCACCTCTTCCCCTGGACGGCAGCTCTCTCCCACATCCTCAGCTGTACCACATGAACCGCGTCCTCATGGGATACAATCACCGCCAGCGCCAGCAGCAGGGGCAGCACCAGGAACAACACAGGAGCGCGTTGTTTCGGGGGTATCGCTACCATCTAGCTCTGATGCTAATGAGGCACGACTAAAGGAGCTGGAAGAGTTGCTGCGTCGTGGGGAAAAGGAGCTGCAGCGTGTGGGGCGTGAGAATGAGAAGCTGAGAGATGTAGTGGGGAGGTATAGGGATCGGTGGGAGAAACTGAAAGAAGGGGCTAGGGTGCGGAGGGAAGGGAATGGGAATGGGAATGGGAATGGGAATGGGAATGGGAGTGGGAATGGGAATGGAGGTACTAATGGAGCCGGGAAAGGGACACGTACAGATATGGGAAAGGTGGTTACTGCCACTCCTAGTCCTGAGGTCGCGGATGTAGCGCAAGTTACAAATCGTGCCGGTGACGGTGGTGGCATTGGTACTGGCGAAGGGGAAGGGGTGGGCAATAATAAGAATGCCAAAAGCTTGCTTGATGATTAGGATTTATGTCACTGATGATTCTGGGTTGAGCGTAAGTCTGTTACAGGTGACTGAAGATGAAGATCCCTTTGTACCCAGAAAAAGATTCGATGCCTCGATGATCCTCATGCCATTTCTCTAGCTTTCATGAATAATGACACTCTGTCTGAGGATTTATGTAAAGGTCTTTCGGAGGCCCATTTCAATTTTAAAAACTAAGAAAAATATACATTCGCATGAGGGATGAGAGATGATGCAATGGGGCTATATATTAAAAAAAAAAAAAAAAAAAAAAAAAAAAAAAAAAAAGAAAACCCCGATCCAAACGCCGCTGATAGAAAAGAATTATGCAAGATGAGCTTCAGCCTTTTGAATTGTGAATATATGATGAGTTTGTGCTGAGGGAGTTATGAATAGACGTAAAATAAGAAAGATTAAAAGGTGTATCTCACAATGAAACATGGGGTAAAAAAAGAGAGAGAGAGAGATTAAGAAAGAAATCAATCGAAAAACACAAGATAAATTTGCGCCCCCGATGCACACCATACGCCAAAAGTAGAGTTGAGTGAATTAATTGAAAGACAATCAGAAAGGACCAAAGGAAATTGTATATAAGTGATGATAATCATCCCTATAAAACGCACAAACCAGTAGGAAGTCACTAACAAGGATCACCCGGCAGAGAAGAATTTGTGTACTGGGCCATCCTGGTAATGTGTTACACATCTATAATATATTTATGCATTCCCTCCTCCTATTTTTGCGTGAGAGAGGAGAATAGTTTTGGTTGAAAGGGGATAGGAGTGTTCAGCTTCTTGATGGCCTAACGTTTCCCCCTCCATCATCACCAGGACTACCAGTCACTGAAGGGCCAGCCTTGCTTTTCTTCTTCGTCGGACTCCCTCTGATGCTGGCATTTAGCCACCCCAGACCGCCACTCAATGAATCATTAAGGCTGCGGGTCCGTGGGCTATCTTTCTTTTTTTGTAATGGTGATGGGTCCAGTGTTGGAACTGCTTCTTGTGCAATGGCCCTGTCCGTGATGTTTGAATCGGGGAGGGGAAA